TGTGTGTATATATATATATATATATATATATATATATATATCCAGTAACTCCAATTAGTGTCAATCTCACACATTTTAACTGATTATTGCGTATTTCACAGCTAGCCATATTTTAACCATGTTCATACTTTTTAACCGAATAAATTAAATAAATTAAAAAATTGTTTTCACTGTGAAAAGATTAATGCTGATTCTAAGCGATTTTTATAAATGCATTTTGAAAATGTGATTATTTAAAATCAAATTGATGCAAATAGTTAATATGATATTTTTGAGTGCAGAAATCTTACCTCTTTCATTTATGTATGACTGAAAAATGTGTATCACGTTAAGTTTATTAGTTTTTGTTAAATGGAATTTCAAAAATGTTATATGCAATTCAAACACACAAAGCTTAAATTTAGGCCTACATTTTTTTTAGCATAAAGGAGAGAACAAAACAATGCTTAAATGCTCCTGTGATGTGTATTATCTGAAAAAGAAAAGTCGAAGAAAACAAATCGGCTTCAGTTTTTAAGAAGAAACGTCTAGTTTTGATCATCTAAAAATCAGTGGTTCCCAACCCTGGTCCCTGAGGCACCCCAACACTGCATGTTTTGCATATCTCCTTAATCAGACACACCTGATTCAGATCCTCAGCTCATTAGTAGGGACTCCAAGACCTGAAATTGGTGTGTCAGAGAAAGGAGACATGCAAAATGTGCAGTGTTGGGGTGCCTCAGGGACCAGGGTTGGGAACCACTGATCTAAATGACTCAAACCCGAAATGGTGATGTACAGGAGCCGCTGAGAAGTAGAGACTCCAAGACCTGAAATTGGTGTGTCAGAGAAAGGAGACATGCAAAATGTGCAGTGTTGGGGTGCCTCAGGGACCAGGGTTGGGAACCACTGATCTAAATGACTCAAACCCGAAATGGTGATGTACAAGAGCCGCTGAGAGATGTCAATCCCCGACAGATCATTAATTTCTCTAGTGGAGAGACTCTGACAGAGGACGACAGTGAGGAAGAGGAGGGACAACATCAGCGTTAATCAAGCGCCCAGTGCTTCTGACCTGGTCAGTGTGAATGACTCTCAATAACAGAATAATACAAATTTAATCTGTCAGGTATGAAAACAACCAAAGCTTGTTTAATATTTTTACCTTTTAGTATTGGACATTACATGTATTGGACATTAATTTTACGGTAGTATACCGTTTTTGGAAGTGAAAAAGACCGTATAATTTACAGTGAATAACCGTAAATTGACATTCCCAGAATTCCCTGTGTTACATTTCAAATTTGATGTGTTTTTTTTTTGTTGAAATAACTATGTTATTTCTTAGTTTTTTCTTATCAGATTTGTATATTAGGGTTGTGTGTTACACCTAATGTTGTTAAATGAATGTTTATTGCATTATATCAGTTTCATGTGTGTTACATGATGGTGTTTAGTGTTTGTGTGAATGACACTGTGCACCTTCTATATATGTTATTATTTAAAAGCTGCTTGTGATGGGCTTTGGTTCATCATGTGACTTTCTCATCACCACCTGCATTTGGTGGTTATCAGTGTATTACAAAGGTACAAAACAGATTTCAGTACTTCAATAGGTTGGTGGTATATTAACATTATACCAGTTAATGAAATTACGGTTTTTAACTGTAAATTTAAGTTAAAACCGTAAAACTTAAAATGTTGCTACCGTATTTTTTAAGGTAAAATTCCGGCAACCACAGCTGCCGGTTTTTTACTGTCAATTTTACGGATTTTTTTTTACAGCGTATGTCAGTAGGTGTCGATAAGTGAAAATATTTGTGTTTCATGAGCGAGTTATTGAATCATTTAGTCAACCGATTCATTAAAAACAGTTTAGAGTTGTTGAGATGTTGACGACCAGTAATTTTGAATTTTATTAGGCTACATATGCGTGTCAAAAAATACATTAAAGTAAAGCACTCTAGAAAGAATGTTAAAGCACTGTTTTCTCCACAAATTATAACAAAGCAGCCTAAATAAATTATGACTTTAACGTTATCACAACATGTGAACCTTCGAACATTCAGAAGTCTTCAAAAGGAAGAAACTTGAGTGAATGAAACGAATCATTGGGTGCGAACGCGCGAATGATTCATTCACTTCGAAAAACATTCGTTCGCAAACAATTTTTCGCATCTGTATTCAAATAGTTACATAAAAGAAGTTCCTGCTATTGTATTTACCTGAAAGAACCCTTGATTTTGCCACAGCCACAATGATGCACCTCATTTCTGACTGACTGATAAGGAAAAGACAGACAAGAACTCATAAGAAACTATGCAGAGGACATAAATAATCAGTGATCAATTTAAATACAGACCCCATTTTACCTGTGAAGTGTGTCTGCTGCGAAACACACAGGAACACGACGGTAAAGATCCATCTCCTGTGGAGTCCAGGTCAGTGTTGCCACCAACACCCCATTACTCTCACTTGTCAGAGTCTTAGACATATTAGAGGGGCCACTGACCTGGAAGTCAGAGATGCTACACAGACAGGAGCAAAAGAAAGATCAGATAACATTACTGTAACTCAGTCGGCAGACACATGAAAAACCTGATTCGGCATACATTGACATTTGAGCATGTCAAGGTTGGATCTACTGATAAAAAAGGAATTAAGTTCAATTCATCTGCTCATCAAAATCACGCCACTTAGAAATGAAATGAAAAGATTGATTAC